CGCCACTGGGGCATTCGGTGGAGCTCCATATGGGGCCACGAAACGTGTGAGGAGTGTGCCGACATGGGTGTGGAACCGCATGCGAACTGCGCCACTGGGGCATTTGGTGGAGCTCATTAGGTACGGGTCCACGAAGCGTGTGAGGGGTGTGCCGAAATTGATGGCGGGACCGCATGCGAACTGCGCCACTAAGACCCGCGGTGAAACTCCCGATGGGGCCACGCACGCGTGAGTGGTGTGCCGAAATTGGTGGCGTGACCTCATGCGAACTGCGCCACTGGGACATTCGGTGAAGCTCCCTATGGGGGCACGAAACGTGTGAGGGGTGTGCCATAATGGGTGGCGGGACCGCATGCGAGTTGCGCGACCAGGACCTTCGGTAGAGCTCCCTCATGCGAACTGCGCCACTGGGACCTTCGGTGGAGCTCCCCATGGGGCCACGAAACGTGTGAGGAGTGTGCCGAAATGAGCGGCGGGGGCCCCATGCAAACTGCGCCACTGGGACCTGCGGTGGAGCTCTCAATGGGGCCACGAAACATGTGAGAAATCGGTGCAGGACCGCATGCGAACTGCGCCACGGGGATCTTCGGTGGAGCTCTCTCTGCACGAAACGCGTGATGGGTGCTGGAATGGGACCTTCGGTGGAGCTCCCTATGGGGTCACGAAACGTGTGAGGGGTGTGCCGAATCAGGTGCGGGTGCGCCATGCGGACCCTGCCGCTGGGACCTTCGCAGGAGCCCTCAATGGGGCCCCGAAGCGTGTGAGAGGTGTGCTGGAGTTGGTGGCGAGGACTTCATGCGAGTTGCGCCACCAGGACCTTCGGTGGAGCTCCCTAAGGGACCACGCCACGTGTGAGGGGTGTGCCGACATGTGTGGCGGTACCGCATGCGAACTGCGTCACTGGGACCTTCGATGAAGCTCCCTATGGGGCCACGAGCCGTGAAGGGTGTGCCGAAATAGATGACGGGACCGCATGCGAACTGCGCTGCTAGGACCTTCGGTGGAGCTCCCTGTGGGGCCACGAAGCGTGTGAGGGGTGTGCCGAAATTGGTGGCGGGGCCGCAACTGGGACCTTCGGTGGAGCTCCCTGAGGGGCCACGAAACGTGTGAGGGGGGGGGCCAGAATTGTAGACTGATGCGGAGAGCAGAAGTAAGGAGATGGAGGAGGAGGAGGAGGAGGAGGAGGAGGAGGAGGAGTTTGATGAAAAGGAGGAGGAGGCGGAGGAGGAGGAGGAGGAGGAGGAGGAGGAGGAGGAGGAGTAAGAGAGGAGGAGGAAGAGAGGAGGAGGACGCGGGGCGCTGTCTCTTCAAAACGAAGTCCCAACACCACAGGATGGCTGGGACAAACGTAATAAGGGAAATCAGCAAGTGAAGTCCTGTGTGTGAAAACCAAACGCGGGGGGAGAGAGGGGCATCTTCCGGACAGAGGGGGGAAATGGGAGGCAGGGGAGGGCGGGAGAGGGGGCACCACATCTCTTAAGGCAGAGCCCAAGCCAGCAGAGCCAGGCTATCGACACGCCTCTGGTCCAGGTGCATGGAATGTGTGTTTGACGTTTGTCTTCAAAAAAGCGTAATCGTCTGAGATATATTCGGTTTCTACCCTGATTGGATGGTCGTTTGGTGGTTTGGCTGACTGGCTGGTATAGCATTGGTTTGGGTCTCTGGCCAGTTTCACGTGCAATTGTTAGGTTGATTGTGTTGTTGACCTACTTATTCCCAACCCTCCAGCGTCTGGCTCTCTTTTTGAATCGCAATGGGGTCGCATCTCCTCGTCCTCTCCCTGCGAGGGGGGGGGGGGCAGCAGAGTCAGGGGCTACGCGGATTCAAATTAGACCTCGCCGTCCTTAAGGGGGCTGCGAAGTGTGAAACTGTCACCACGTGCGGTGGCTGCTGGGGGGGGGCAGCACAGCTGGGGCCTGCGCGGATCCAGATTAGACCTCGCCATCCCTGGGGGTCTGCGAGCTGCGAAATTGTCACCACGTTCGAGGGCTACTGGGGGGGGGTCCAGCGGAGTGACGTCTCTTTCAGACCAGAGCGGGACCTCGCCGTCGCTGGTGGGTTGCGATGTGCGAAACTGTCGCCACTTTCTGTGAACGCTGCAGGTCAGCACGGTGACGTCCTACGCGGACTCAGACTCGACCGTGCCATCCCTGGGGTGGCTGCGAACAGCGAAACTGTCGCCACGTTCTGGGGGGTCCAGCGGAGTGACGTCTTAGTGTCGCCATCCTTGGGGGGCTGCGCACTGCGAAACCGTCGCCACTTCCGAGGGCTGCTGAGGGTGGCCAGCTTCGAGCGACGCTGTGCGGATCAGACTGGAACCTTACCGTCTTCGGCGGGTTGCGAACTGCGACGTTGTCGCCACGTTCGTGAGTTCCTTGGGGGGCCAGCTCAGTGCGGTGCCACGCAGATCTGAGCGGGAACTCGCCATCCTCGGGGGTCCTCACTCCTCGTCCTTCTGTGGCTGTCCTATGAGTCGTGCAACCAGGTCGCATGTTGTGTAGCTTGCACAATGACGGTGCGTGCGTATCATCATCCATATTCGTTTGGGCCAACTCCTCTTGTCATTTGATGCTGATAGGTGGTGTACGTCGCAGGGGTATTGGTAGTTTCCCAACCATCCTGTGGTGTTGTGTCCTCGTTTTGAAGAGACATCGCCCCGCATGCCCCCATCACCGTCGTTGCACACCGTTCACACGCTTCTTTGTCCCCGAGGGAGCTCTGCAAAAGGCCGCAGCGGTAGGCTCCGCATGGCGCTCCCGCACCCGATACAGCACACCTCTCGCACGTTTCGTCGTAGCCCCAGAGGGAACCCCATCGCAGGCCCCAGCGGCAGGGTCCGCATGGCGTACTCGCACCCGATCCGGCACACGTCTTGCACGTTTCGTGGCCCCACAGGGAGCTCCATCGAATGCCCCAGCGGCAGGGTCCGCATGGCGCACCCGCACCCATGTTGGCACACCCCTCACACGTTCCGTGGCTGCAGGGAGCTCCACCGAAGGTCCCAGCGGCAGGGTCCGCTTGGCGTGCCCGCACCCGCCCCGGTTCACACTTCACACGCTTCGTGGCCCCATGGGGAGCTCAATCGAAGGCCCCAGCGGCACTGTCAGAAAGGCGTACCCGCGCCCGATTCGGCACACCCAAACACGTGTCGTGGGCCCACAGGGAGCTCCGACGAAGGCCCCAGCGGCACGGTCCGCATAGTGCACCCGCACCCGACTCGGCACACCCCTCACACGCGTCGTTGCCCCATGGGGAGCTCCACCGAGGGGCCCATCGGTACTGTCCGCATGACGTACCCGCGCCCGATTGGGCACATCCCTCACATGCTTCGTTGCCCCATAGGGACCCCACCGAAAGGCCCCGCGGCAGGGTCCACATGGCGTACCCGCACCCGAGTCGGCACACATTTCACTCGTGTCGTGGCCCCATAGGGACCCCACTGACAGGCCCAGCGGCAGAGTCCACATGGCGTACCCGCAACCGATTCGGCACACACTTCACACGTGTCGTGGCCCCTATGGGGACCCCTTTGAAGGCCCCAGTACCCGCACCCGATTCGGCATACCCCTCTCACGTTTCGTCGTAGCCCCATGAGGAACTCCACCGAAGGCCCCAGCGGCAGGGTCCGCGTGGCGTGCCCGCACCCGATCCGGCACACCTCTCACACTGTTCGTCGTAGCCCCATGGTGAGCTCCACTGAAGGGCACAGCGGTAGTGTCCACATGGCGTGCCCGCGCCCGACTCGGCACACCCCTCAAACTTTTCGTGACCCCATAGGAAGCTCCACCGAAGTCTCTCGCCAGGATAGCATGTTCAGTTTGTTGGACGGTTGGCTGGTTGGCTAGACAGTTGGTTGGTTGGCGTGGCCTTCGGTTGGATGGCTTGGGTTTGTTACGTGTGGCTTGGTGATGAGTCGTTTGGCTACTTGTCGGCTGGTTCGCTGGCTGCCCATGTGTTTTTTTTGCCACCGAGCACCACCGCCCAGCATCGCCACCACAACCATCACAATGCCACGTGCCAGCGCCAGCCACCACCAAGACCATCGTCACAGCCATGAATTGCCGCACAACGCAATGCAGGCATGCATTTGCCTGGCGTCACAAGTCCATCATTCATAGCGCCGCGAGGCGCTGATTGGCAGCTTCCTCCGATTGCCACGCTCCCCTCCCCACACGCAGTTCTCTTGCCCACAGTGTTCCAGGCTTCGACCACTGGAGCCGTGTACCTTATCGCATCATGCCACACATACTGCATAAGGCAATGGTAGCAAAGCGTTTGTCGCAGCGGTACCAATCAGATGTCTGTGTTTTCTATGTGGCCGCTGTGTTGTAGGATCATATGAGTGGCCATCTTGATGTGTACGTGATGAGGATAATGTGATGATGCTGTTCTTTGAATGTTCCCAAACTAATGCCTGCACCCAGATGTTCTCACTTGAGTTGTACAGGGCTGGCCCTGTCCGTCGCAGTCGAAGGCTTCTGCCCCCGATTGGTTGGTGCCTTATTGCTGGTGCTCGATGGCGCCGTATGGCAGGTGCCCCACAGTTGGTGCTCTATGGTTGGTGGCCCATGGGTTGTGCTCCATTGCTGGCGCCCTATGGTTGGTACCCTGAGTATGGTTGGCGCCCTGCGGCTCGTGCCGCATAGCTTGCACATCGGGAGTGCTAGAACGTTTTGGGGAGTCCACGCGCTGACATCGTTGTCTTGCATGCTGGCCAAGGCTGAAGCTAGCACTTCGTGAACCCAAGAAAACGCGTGTCTGGGCCGATGCTCACGTTTCATTCCTTTTTCGCAGCTTTTCCTTGCCCCTGGGGGGTCCAGCGGAGGGACGCAGTATGTGGACTCAACAAGACCTACTAGCTTTCCATGGAGGAGGAGCAGGGTAAGGTGGACAAGGGGACGGGGAGGCAGAGGAGGAGGAGGAGGAGGAGGAGGAGGAGGAGGAGGCGGCGGAGAAGGAGCACAGGTGAGGGCAGGCGCAGGGGCCAGTGGCAGGCAGGCGCTGGGATGGCACATGGAGGTCAGGGCCGCGAACGGGGTTCCGACGACGCCGGGCAGGTCCACCGCCGGCGCTGGCCGACCGGCAGAGGGGCACGGCTGCCTCGGGGATGAAGGCCAGCCGGGAGCCGCAGGGGGGGGGGGGGGAAGCGTCGGCTCGGAGTCCGAGGAGCGCTGGGAGGGGACGGCACTCGTGGGGGCGATGCCCAAGGCGCTGTCCCGAGATCGACGGCGGCTGCCGCCATGCAGGCGGCATTCGCCAACAGACGGACCACGCCCGAAGCAACGCGGACAGCGAGTCTTCACTCAGATTGGATTGAGCTGGAGGTGCTGTCAGTAGCCTTTCCATCCGTATCAACCCCGCTCCGGGCGGCTCGCGCCCGCCAGTCAATCCTGGTCTCTCCCTCCGCCCAGTCCTGGAGGGGCGTGGGGGCGGGCAGAAGGGGGGGTTGACGGGGGGCAGAAGGAGATGATAAAGGAGGAAGCCGAGGGGTGCGGGTTGATGGGCGAGGAGGGAAGAGGCCAAGCTAGGTGCGCTCGCGCCATGTCTGACATCCGACCCTTCCCACTCATCCCTGCCCATGGCGCTGATTTTGTTCTCTATCCGCGGGCGCGTTTTGTAGCGGACCTGGGATTTCAAAAAGGACCCCATCGTGTCATGCGCAATCGGATTGGAAAAGGGGGGACTGCGCACATTGGTGGCGGAGGAGGAGGAGGAGGAGGAGGAGGAGGAGGAGGAGGAGGAGGAGGAGGAGGAGGAGGAGGAGGAGGATCTGGCAGATGAGCAGGAGGATGACCAAGAGGAAAAGGAGGAGGATGAAGGAGGAGGACGAGGACGAACAGCAGCAGCAGCAGCAGCAGCAGCAGCAGCAGCAGCAGCAGCAGCAGCAGGAGGCTGGGGGTCTTGGGCTGCGGAACGCTGCGGACCTGCGCCTGCCCGCGTTCCTGGCCAGCAGGACAGAGGCGCGCAGCCTGGCCGAGGACCTTGCGCGGCTGCTGCCAGGCCCCGTCCGCGACCCTCTGTTCGCGCACTGGTCTGCCACGACGCGCGCGGCCCTGGACGAGTGGTGCGCGCAGTTCCCGCCGTCGCCCGCTTAGGTGGCCAAGCAGAGCCTCGAGGCGGGGGCCGAAGAGGCAGCCCGGCGTCTCGCGCAGGTCGCCGGGTTCCTGCCGCGGGGCTGGGCCGGGGAGGGCGACGAGTTCGCCAGGCGCGCCGCCAGCGCGCTCCTGCTGCACGGGCCCGACGACCCCGAGCACCTGGACGCGGAGGAGGGCTTGCAGTCGCGCCTGGCCCGGTTGGCGTCGGGGCGTCGGGCCTCCGCCTGGCGGCCTTGCGAGCCATCGCAGGTGGCTCAAAGGACTGGGAGGGCGGCCGGATCCTCGACGACCTCACGCACCCGGATGCTGACCACCGCTGGTTGTGGGTCTTGAGTCTTGACGGCGGTCGATGACGCTGCGCTGTCCCCCCCTGAGTTCGTCACCACGTTTCGGCTTCGCCTCGGGGCAGACCTCTTGGGCGCCCCTGCCGCGTGCGCAAGATGCGATCGCCAGCAGGACCTGCCGTGCTGGCACGCGCTCCGGTGCGCCCCAGGGCGCGCCACGTGTGGGCACAGCAGGGTCCAGGACACGCTGCTCGGGCTAGCATACACGGCACACGGCGGTGCAGTCACCGAGCCCTGCTGCTGCGGCCCGCTGCTGCGGCCCGCCGACCTCAGGGGCCTTTGGTCGTCTGACGGCGCGGGACGTTGGCATCGCCAACCCATGTGCGCGCACGGCCGCAGACGACGCCTGTGACTCCATGGCGCGAAACAAGGTCGAGCAGTACAGGCCATACTTGAGGGAGCTGGCGGAGGATGGCGTCGGGTACTGCCCCGTGGTGTGGAGCTGCTGGGGGCGGCCGCGCACCGACGCCAAGGCCGCGATGCGTTCCATGGCCCAGTCCGCGGCCAGGCGCCACGGGGCCGTGCGCCCCCAGGACCTCGAGCTGCGGGCGCGCGGCGCCATCGGGGTGCAAATCTGGAAGCGCGACGCGCGCATGGTGTCGGCCTGCCGGCCCGCCCTCTGCGCGGAGGAGGCCGCCGCCGTCCTGCCCACCGCGGTGGCTGCGGCGGTGGCCGCTCGGCAGCCCCGGCCACTGGCCCTGGCCGCCCCGCCCGCCCTCGCCGTCCCTGCGGGTCTTCCCTTCTTTACCAGCGATTCGCGACCCCAGGGATAGCGAGGGCGACGGGGGCGCGGAGGACGGCGCCAAGGCCGCGCGCGCGCGCCTGTTGCAGGGGGCTCGGCTCCGCCAGTGCTCTCCACCGCGGCGGCCGCGGCGGTGGCAGCGGCGGCCGCGGTGACCGAAGCGGACCCCACGGCGGACGTCTTCGGCGACATCAGCTCCGGCTCCGGGTCGCCGAGAGAGCGGTCCCCCGCGGGCGCCGCTAGCGCTTGCGCGGCCGTGGGCCTTGCCGTGGCTGCCCCCGTGCTGGCGGACGGCGGCCAGGCGGCGGAGGGAGCTGGCTTGGCTGGCCCGGCGGTGGTGGCCAGGCCAGGCTGAGGGCGCGGGTACTTTATATAAAGAGAGCTGAAGCAGAAGGAGCGGGAGGAGCAGGAGGACCAGGGGAAACCGGGGGAGGGGGAAAGAGGGGGGCGACAACGATGAGAAATATTCGGAACCAGGAAAGAGGCCCGCGCCGGGGCGAGATTGCCATTCTGAACGACTTGTGAACGACGGGCGCAAAGCGCCGATCCTAAAATGAGGCCCCTGCTGCAGCGACAGCTTCATTCCGACTGATTGTCAAACTATCCTGGTGAAACACCAAGCCAGATGCAAGTGTGAGTACCGCAAGGCAGGTGGGACGAAGGAGGTGGGAACTCCCTATGGGGCCACGAAGCGTGTGAGGGGTGTGCCGGCATGGGCGGGGGACCGCATGCGAACTGCGCCGCTGGGACCTTCGGTGGACCTCCCTATGGGGCCACGAAGCGTGTGAGGGGTGTGCCGGATCAGGTGCGGTGCCGCTATGCGGCCGCGCCGCTGGGACCTTCGGTGGACCTCCCTGTGGGGCCACGAATCGTGTAAGGGGTGTACCGAAACAGGTGCGGGTACACCACGCGGATTCTGCCGCTGGGGCCTTCGATGGAGCACCCTATGGCATGGCCCTACGGGGCCACGAAGCGTTTGAGAGGTGTGCTGGGTCGGGTGTGGGTACGCCATGTGGACTGCGCCCGTGGGGCCCTCGGTGGAGCTTGCCGTGGGGTCATGAAGCGTGTGAGGGGTGTGCCGAATCTGGCGCGGGCACACCATGCGGACTGTGCCACCAGGGCCTTTTGGTGGAGCTCCCCATGTGGCCACGATGCCTGCGAGGGGTGCGCCGGATCGGGTGTGGGTACGCAGTGCGGACTGTGCCATTGGGGCCTTCGGTGGAGCTCGCCGTGGGGACACGAAGCGTGCAAGGGGCGTACCCATTCGAAACTGAGAACGGTGGTTGGTGGTGATGATGGTGATGATGATGATGATGATGATGGGGATAGCAGTGGTGGGTGTGATGTTGATGGTGATGATGGCGATGATGATGATGATGGTGATTGTGAAGATGGTGGTAACGATGCTGGTGATGATGATGCTGATGATGATGATGATGATGCTGATGTTGATGCTGATGCTGGTGTTGCAAATTGCTGTTGATGATGGTGGTGGTGATGCTGGTGATGGCGATGATGATGCTGATGATGATATGATGAAGATTTGGTGCCGATGGTGATCATCATGGGGATGGTGATACTACTAGCGATGTCGCCGATGCTGACGATGCCGACATGTCGAGGGAAATGATGAGGATACTGGTCATGATGACGGTAGTGATGATGATGATGATGATGATGATGATGATGATGATGATGATGCTAATGGTGATGCTGTTGCTGATGATGGTGGGGATGGTGATGAAGCTGGGGATGATAATGGCGATGTGCATGATGCTGATGATGATGCTGATGATAATGAAGCTGACAGTGATGATTCCGTTTTTGTGGACGGTGACGACGATGATGTTGATAGTGATGGTGATGAGGATGCTGGTGATGATTAATTTTTATGGTGATGATTACATGATGATGCCCTCGTGGGTGGACCCACAATCCATTGGATTGCTGTGAGCGGGGACGGCAGCCAGGGGTTTGAACCCAGGGGTGGACTGCTCGGGGCAGTAACCCAGGTTCCCGCCTCCCCCACTGCAGGGTGGTGGTCGGGCGTTGCGGGGTTCGTGGAGGGGGCGCTCGCCCGCTGTCTGCTACAAAGTTGCGACGCGGGGGGCGGACTGGGGACGGGTTGACCTGGCGCATGTGGGCGGGGGTTCCATGAGACTTACCCAGGATGCCCGCCAGTGGAAAATTGTTTTCCTTTCCCCTCCCTCTTGTAGTGTGCCGGGTGTTCCTGCCAGATTTGTCTTTGTTATTCATGCTCCCCCTTTAACAGCTTAACCCGGCCTTTTGCCGCGCGCGCTCCTTTCTCCTTCCTTGTTTTCTCCCGCAGCCGTTGGCTTCGGCACGGCTGCGCTGCCTCTTTCTCCATCCACCCACCCTACAGTGCAAGGGGACCCCGCCCCAAAGCGGGCGGGGGTCCCATGGGACTTTGGGCCTTTTCCCGGATGTCCGCCTGTAGAAAATGGTATTCCTTTCCCCTCCCTCTTGTAGTGTGCCGGGTGCCCCTGCTGAGTAATTGTCGATGGAGGCGGCCGGACCAGTGGGCGCCCGCCTGGTCTTGGGGGGGGCAGTGGGCCATGGGCTTGGAGAGGAGTTCTGGGCGGGGGTCCCCTCCGAGGGGCTGCGTGACATGCCCCTCCGAGGGGCTGCGTGACATGCCCGGTCGGCTGCGCCGAGTCCTGTGAGGCGACTTCGGCGGGTGGGGGGGGGGACGGGAGGGGGCGCCTGGAGAGGGACTGCGCGGGCGCAAGGGCGCGGAGGAGGGGGAGGGGCCAGGAGAGGACACCTTTGGAGAGGTCACGGGCCCAGGGAGGAGGACGCCCTCCGTCTGCCGCGGCCCGCCGGGGGCTGCCTCGGGGCGCGCGCTCCGTCCGACGCGACCGCCCGAGCCGCGGCCAGATGACCGAGGGAGCTCTCATGGGGGCGTCGCCAGGCCATCGGACGTGCTTGCCCCTCCTGGCACAGTTGCTCGTCCGAGCGCGCTCTCCTGCTGCAGGGGGTCCCGGCGCCTCTCCATTGCTGCGCATATTCTGGAAAGTTCGGGAAATCGCATGGGAATTTCGGTTTGGTCGCGGCCTGGGGGTTGGGAAGGGATTGCCAGCAATGTCCAAGGAGCGCGCAGGCCAGAAAATTGGCCGCAACCCACTCGGAGTACAGCCCCTTCGATCCCGTCCTCGGCCCCTGTTCGGGCCACGGGGGCACGTTGTTGCGGCGTACTTGGCTCTAGGGCGGGCACGCTTGTAGTGAACTGCTCAGTGAACTTTCTGGCAGCTTGCGCTGGTCGCGCGATGTTCGTTTCACGCGACCTGCATGCTCGGAGTGAGTTTCTTGGCAACGACGTTGGCCACGACATGTGCTTGGCCCGCGAGCGGGCACGCTTGGAGTGAGCTTCGTGGCAACTACGCTGGCCACGTGGTGTTCACTTCAAGCAAGCGGCCACGCTTTGAAATGAATTTGCTGGACGCTGCGCTGGTCACGCGATGTGTGCTGCAAGCGAGCGGGTACGCATGGGAAGCCCACATGATGCTCACTCTAGAAACACCGCCCCAGGGCAACTGCACTGGAAACTTTTACAGAAAAAAGGGTTGGTCTCTTTGAGGCAAAACCGCTGAGGGAACAACATAATAATTCAACATCACTCACAACATAATAATTCAACATCGTTCGTCAATCATCGGGCATGGCGCCGTTCTTTTAGCGGGTGGTTCGCGATCGCGTCCACTCAAATTTTAAGTGGAGCGTCATCCGCCTGCCACAACGCGTCAGTGCCATGCCAGTGCACGAGGTGCATGCCAATATATGGGTACGTAGGACGAGGATGAAAGGGAGGAGAAGGACAACGACAGGCAGGAGGACTTGGGAGAGGAAAAACAAGGAGGATGAGGATGGGGAATGGGGAGGCGGGATGGGGAATGGGGATGGGGAGGAGGGGGAAGAGGAAGAGAGGGGGGAGAAGGAAGAGGAGGGAAAGGACGGGGAGGGCGGAGTAGAAGAGGAGGGGGAGGAGGGAGGTAGAGCCGGAAGAAGAGACTCAGGCGCCGCCCGACCGCTGCCGTCGCGCTGACCGTGGAACCTTGCGAGCGGAAGCATCATCTGGGACCTCTGGCGGTGTTTTCGCCGGCGCCTGGCCGTTCGTGCGGGGCAATCCCGAGACGTGTTGGCTCGAGCCACGCGCTCGCCACTGCGGCAGCCTCCGCCTCCCCAGGCCGCCGCCCTGCCCAGGGCAGCGAGCGATGCCCGACATCTGGCTGGAGAAGTACAGGCCCACCATATTCGAGGACGTCGTCGGCAATGCTGGCGCGGTCAGCGTGCTCCGCTCGCACGCCGCCGGGGGCACGTTCCCGCACCTGCTCTTGAGCGGGCCGCCTGGCTGCGGCAAGACCACTGTGGTGCACTGCTTGGCGCGCGAGCACTTGGGCACCGACTACGAGCAGGGCTGCATCGAGCTGAACGCATCTGACGACAGAGGCATCGACGTCGTTCGGGAGAAGATCAAGGGGTTCGCGCAGCAAAAGGTCAGCCTGCCCGAGGGCAAGCTGAAGATCATCATTCTCGACGAAGCGGACAGCATGACCACAGCTGCGCAGCAGGCCATGCGGAGGACCATGGAGATGTACAGCGCCACAACCCGCTTTGCGCTTGCCTGCAACATCTCTTCCAAGATTATCGAGCCAATCCAGTCGCGGTGTGCCATCCTGCGCTTCGGTCGCATTGACGACGCTGAGCTCAGAGCTCGCTTAGCCAGGGTTTTAGAGAAAGAGACCGCTTCCTACGACGATGCTGGGCTCGATGCGTTGGTGTTCACCGCAGAGGGCGACATGCGTAACGCTTTGAATGGCGCCCAGTCAACCTTCAACGCCTTTGGCACCATCACTCGCGACACTGTGATCCGGATGAACGATCAGCCGCAACCCGAGAAAGTCAAGGGTTGCTTGAGTGCCTGTCTGCAAAAGGACTGGACCACCGCCTTCGCTCCAATCCACGACATCGTCAAGCAGGGGTACAGCTCCCACGACATCATAGCGACGCTGTCCAGGGTCACGAAGAGCTACGACGCACCAGAGCATATCAAACTGGAGATACGGACCTGGAAGATTGCAAGTGTGCTCATGCCAAACTGTTGTTGAGCCCGCAGAGCGGGAATCACAGCTGGCCCCATCACGGGGACACAGGCACACACATTCCGAACATGTGATGATTCGTGAGATGCCCTCGAGATGCTCTTGGGACGGTTGTTGTGGCCTCCTTGGGTCTTCTTTGGTTGGGCGTTCTTGGACTTGTGTTAGGTCTTGAGATGGTCTTTGGGGCCGTGGCGGAGGGTCTTGGGCCGTTTTGGAGGCATTTGGCGGAAATCGTGCAGGCCAGCTGCGGGGCTTCTGGGCCCATCTAGGGACCACCTTGGGTACTTTGGGCTGTCTGGAGGAGTTCTGGGGGACCTCTTGGACAAGTTGGGGGGCTTTTGAAACCCTTCTAGGAGCCATCCGAACCCACTAAGGACGGATGCGAATCATGAAGAAAAACGCAGACAACATTCCTATCAAGTTTGCCTCTGGAGCGCCTGTCGCGGAGCCATATTGCATATTGGAGTCTTGTTTGGGCTCCTGGGGCTATCTCAGGGCAAAACGTATTCCTGGAGCCATCTTATAGCCTATTACAGGCCCTCTCAGAGTCAGGGTTGGCTCCCTTGGGGTCTTTTGAGGCCGCCTTGGCGTTCCTGGTTGGGTATTGGGCTGTTTGCGAGTCTCTTGCAACTCTTTGGGGGCATTCTTGGGCCCTGGGAGCCAGACTCATTGCTTTTTCTCCCACCCTCCTGTGTTGGGTTCTCGTTTACAGCACTGCTCGCGCGTCGCCTCCATCTCATGATCCTCTCTCTCTCTCTCTCTCTCTCTCTCCTCGTGCCTCCCAGCTCCCGCCTGCATGCTCCAGTTCGTGTCTGCCGCATACCTCGCCCTCCCAATTGGTTGCCACCTATGCAGCTGCCACAGCCAAGATGCTACCACAAGGAACGCTGTTCCGCAACGCCGGCTCTGGGCAGGCTGTGCTGCCCAGAGGGGGAGGGAGAGAGGAAGGGAGAAGCAGGCAGGCGACGACGAACGCGCAGGCGGGAGGCTGGGGCCGGCGGGACGAGGTCCGCGGGCGGGCATGCGGAAGGGAGACAGACGGAGAACAGCAGGCAGGGAGCAAGAGGAAGGGGGGGAGGAGGAGGAGGAGGAGGAGGAGGAGGAGGAGGAGGAGGAGGAGGAGGAGGAGGAGGAGGAGGAGGAAGAGGAAGGGAAGGAAGAGGAAGGGAAGGAAGACGAGGAAGAGGGGAGGGAAAGCAATCGCAAGCAGACAGGCCGGGACAAGGGCCGGGAGAGAAGAGCCACCCGCGACGCGGCTGCGGACCCTGCGGCGGCGACCTGGGCGGGGTGGCTGACGGAACCCAGGCCCGCTGCGGCTCGGTTGGGAGCGCCCTTTGCGGGGTCACCCACTTTCCCGCCGAGGAAGAGCCGGACGGCGCGTGTGAGGGCTCGCCAGCGCGACGTTGGCGAAAACGCGCGGGGATGCGCCTGTGCTGCCCAGCAAGGGCGGGTGGGTGGGGGCGTTAGAGAGCGCCGGGGGCACTTCGCACGGCGTCCGCCGTGGAGGCAGCCGTGGCCGCGGCCAGGCGGGCCGCAGCTCCCACAACTGTGGTGGGATCCTGGGAGGTCCAGCGAAGCGGAGGTGTGCGCGGATCCTGGCGAGACCTAGCGGCCTCCCTGGGGGGCTGCCAACTGCGCGACGGACGCCACTTTTGTAGCTTCCTGGGAGGTCCAGCGGCGCGGAGGCGCACGCGGACCCAAACGAGACTTCGCGGCTCCTTGAGGGGCGCTGAGTATGGTCCGACGTTGTTTGGCGAAATGTTCAAGAGTATTGCAAATATCTCAATGTGTTGTTTTGTATGGGGCGTTTTTGGTGGTAGTCACTTCGCATTTTGAACACTGTTTGGTACCAGCCGGTTGATTATACTATGGATTTTGGCCTTTGGAGGCCATATCCGTCTTATTTACACATTTCCCATGACCCAGGGAACGCAAACGTAGAATGTGTTTGCTGCCCAGGAGAACGGATAGGCGGACGCAGTCCGGAGCGCGCCCCCACCCCCGATTGGCAACTAGCTGATTAATCGTCCAGCAGTTCAGCGGCCGCCCAAGGCAGCTGGAACCCGCAGGCGGCCCGCCGCATTGAGCCCGCAGCGCGGGCACTTCGCTCCCGCAGGAGGCCCTCCGAACCCAACCGCTTCGCGCACTTAGCCAGCACATGCTGTGTTCGTGGGCGTTGGGGAGTTGTTGGGCATGTCGTGTGAGAGGGGGGGGGTGAAGGAGTCGTTCGAACAGGCTGATCGCGATACTCGAGGGGTCACGTTCCCTCTCAAGCTTCGTCATCATCATTCAAAAACTTGAACGTGCAATGTTTCAAAAACCCTTCGTGGGCTGTCGGGGTATCCTGGGGGGCTCCGGGGAGGTTTTCAGGGGGTCCCTGGGGGGCCACGGCGTCCCTAGGAGCCCCTTGGGGTTCGCATGAGGTGTCTCGCGGTCCGATTGGGCAATCCTGCAGCCGTGTTGGGGCCTTCGGCGCCTTGTGTGGGTCATATTGCGGCGCGTTGGGGGTGTCCTTGGGCCGTATTGGGCGCTGCACAGGCCGAGCAGGCGACACCGCAAATCGCACAAAAGTTTCATAGGGAAAACAGGCAACTGTGGACTCTCGGAGGGCCGCCGTTAGCAGGTTTGGGGGCTATTAGCGGCCAGCCGTCGTGCGAACCTTTTTGGACGCACCAGAGCCTCATCGGGCATCTCTGGTCCGACTCAGTCGTACCGGTGGTCTGTTGGCGTATCTCGTACCGTTTTGGCGTTGTTGAGTGGGCGGAGGAAGGGGAGGGGGCGGCGAATCGCAAGGCAAGGGAGCGTTCTAACAACCCGGTTGGTTGGAATACCGGAGCCCTTGTGTCGCTTCATAGCCGCAGCCGTCACTGTGCCGTGCCGTAGCCGTAGCTTGTCGCTGCCTATCCGTCTTTGTCTTTCCTTACCCTATCATGTAGACATGTCCTTTCTTACTTACTGAACACGGCCAACGCAGCCCTTGCTCCCAGCTTCGCCTTCCCCGTGGGCCGCTGTATCCTCGACGCTTTGAGTATCTCCGCCAGCTCATTCAGAAACGATGCCCAGACGAGTTGAAGTGAGAAGGGTCGCGCGGCAGCATCAGTGAAACAAGAGGGGGGACCCCCCTCTCACTGACCATCTAAGGGTCATCTGGAAGGCTCTTGTCGGCCTGGAGCCATTCGGAAGCTCTCTTTGAGTTGCATGGTATTATTGTTGCTGTCCTGGGGTCCTATTGGCTCCTTGGGCCATTTCGGAAGCGGTTGGTACAACAAGTGAGTGTCCCCGATTCCGCCTCCGCCCTCCCTCCACCCTCCACCCTTGTAGGGGCCGGGACAGAGGCATAACTCATGGATCGTTCTGAGTTGTTCAGAGGATATTTGCCTCTCGGGGCCCTCCTTGGTAGGCTGCATGGCCACCTCGGGTCGTCTTGGCGTTCTCCTGGGGCTATTTGGACACATGCTGGATACTGTATTGTATTCCAGGTCCAGTTGGACCATAATGCGCGATCTTGGAGTCGATGTTGGGCTATCGGGGGCCAGCTTGGAGAAATGTTGGGAGGTCTGCGACACTCCAGCCCTTCGAGAAGTCCCCGTCCAAACCCCTAGGGATGGGATAGGAGCGGAGTACCCCGTCCCCCAAAGGGGATGCGCGGGGCTGCACTAGCTGATCCCTTAAACCACCTACGGCCAGAAGGCTAGTGGGATCAATGGTGTATAGGATTGCTTTGCCATGATCGGATAGGCGGTGCTACTACATGTGCTGCCATGCTGCGCTGTGTTTTGTGCTGTGGTGCCTTGCGGTGCATCTCGTCGTGTTGCATTTCGCCTGTATGTCAGCAACTCACGAGCTACCCCAAACTCGGGTCGCGCCGGATTCGTTGGATTGTCTGTTCTCCTCACTACCTTGAAGCACTGCCCTGATGCTCTCTCGCGCCATTCAGGAGTGGTTGAAGGAGATTGGTTTGGCGCACATGCGCATCAGCTCTGGCGTCGGGGGTCTGCTACAGCTGAACGCGCTGGTGTGCAAGCTGGTGCAGGTCGCGCAGAGAGCCTGAGTTTCCTGAGCACTCGAGCTCTTAGGGTGAGCTCGGGCCTGTTGCCTGGTCCCTATTCATCCTCCCTCGCTCCCTCCCTGCCCCCCACTCTCCAGCACAACACTGGCTCTCAGGGGCGGGGCGGTCGGTTCGCGGGCCACTGCCACGCAGTGACACCCCGCGGCGGCTGCGCGCGGGATGCGCAAAAGAGGAGCATGTGGCAGGTCGGGCGCCGCCTCGGCGAAGCATTCCCTCCTATGAGGGGCGCCACGGAGATGGAGGAGGAGGAGGAGGAGGAGGAGGAGGAGGAGGAGGAGCAGCAGCAGCAGGAGGAGGAGGAGAGAAAGGGTGACGATGACGACGAGGAGGATGAGGAGAGGACGGGGGTTGGAGGGGAGCTTGCGGGATCTAGCGAGTCAACCTCCAGACAATCAAGGAGCGATCAACGGCAGTGATGAGGCCGCTCTGTCTACCCCCAGGCCCTCCCTGGGCGCTAAGACAACGCCATGAAACCAACTTGCCCAGCTGAAGCTGACGACGTCGCTCCAGCTCCCTTGCGAACCTGCCGTGCACGCTCGCTCCCCTTGCCATACCGCGCGCAAGCTTCCACCATACGCCTGTAGCTGACAGTGCCTGGCGTTTCTCGCTCGAGCTATTCCCAGCATTGCAGCTGAAGACTGGCTCGCTTCACCCTTCTCGCATGAGCTGATCCCCGCGTTGCAGCAGTTGATTGGCTCACGCTTTGCGTTTCGCAGCTGCTTGCGTTCTCGCACTGACAACATCCGTTGCCACTCCCCACTTCTCGCACAAACTGGCCCCAGTCTTTCTCGCACTGCCCACAGCGTCTGCCACTGCCTGCGTTCTCGCACGAGCTGACCCTAGTCCGCCTGTCTTCTCGCATTGGCTACATCCGCTGCCACTGCCTGCACTGACAACGCTGCCACTGCCTGCCTTCTCGCACCGGCAAGCCCTGCTGACACTGCCTGCCTGCTCGCACTGCCAGTCCTTGCCGCCACTGCCCGCCTTCGCACACGAGCTACCACAGCAGAATTGTAGCCGATGATGTGTTCTTGAGGCGCTATCGGGCACCGACAGCTGCTGCTGCCACTGCATGCCTTCTCGCACGAGCTGACCCCAACAGCAGGGTGGCTGATGACGTGGTGCTTCTG